ATCTTGCTGGACTTGGCATCTTTTGAAAAGGACAGGCCCCTTCCTGTGCCCTCTGCAGGCAGAGGGCAGTCCAGTGCCCAGAAATTCCACCTGCAATGTACCCTCCACTGCCCCCAAAGAAGCTTCCACACTGGTGCTGGATTGGCCAGCCTTCTGAGCTAGTGAAAGGCATTCGCACTCGGCTGACCTCAGTGTGTTGAGGGCCTTTCAAACTGGGGGGATGAAGGGAGGGGGAGGTCAAGGGGACCTGAATGGGGGCCCTGGAGACGGCGGAAGGAGGCCCCACCAGAGATCAAAGGCCCAAAAAGGAACAGAGGGTCTGGGGCTGCCCTTTCACCCATGGCCGCTATTCACAGTTCTGCCTGCTCCGCCAAGTCCAGCCCCGCCACGACCTCCTCTAGGCCTTCTAGGGAGGGAGGCACTGCCGGGACTCTGTTCCCCTAGCCCCGCAGGATACCGTAGGCCCATGCCACAGCTTTCTCCACAGACCCTCTCAGGACAGCCCAATCAAGAGACGCAGCTGCCTCTCATGCCTGGGCAGCACCCCAGCCTGACTCTCACCATCCACAAGCCTCCTGAGCCCTCTGGGCACCAGGCCCTGTGCCAAGGAGCCAGGCTGAGGGTAGAAACACAGGCAATGTGGCCCCGCCCAGTCAAGCCCACGTGATGGCGGACTCAGAGTCAAGCAGCAGGAGGGAAAACAAGTAGGCAGAACCACTTCCAGATGCCAGGCAGTCACAGAAGCACTTGTCCCCCAGATTGTAACAGGCCTAAAAAGTCATGGAGCCCAGGGACTTCCCTGGTGGTGCACTGGTTAAGAATCCGCCTGCCAATGCAGGGGACACGGGTTCGAGCCCTGGTCTAGGAAGATCCCACATGCCGCGGAGCAACTAAGCCCGTGCAACACAACTACTGAGCCTGCGCTCTAAAGCCTGCGAGCCACAACTACTGAGCCCACGTGCTGCAACTACTGAAGCCCACGTGCCTAGAGCCTGTGCTCCACAACAAAAGCTACCGCAGCGAGAAGCCAGTGCACCGCAACTAGAGAAAGCCCGCACGCAGCAACGAAGACCCAACACAGCCAAAAATAAATAAATAAATTTACTTTTTAAAAAAGTCATGGAGTCTAAACCAAAATGCCTTCTTTGACTCTTCTGCCCCTCACCCCTGCTCATACCTCCAATGACAGGGAGCTCACTACCTTTCTAAGCTAATGCTTCTAACCTTGGCCCAGCCTGGGTGTTGTCTGAAAGCTGTTCCTTGCACTGAGCCATGATCTTCCTCCCTGTAGCGTCCTTTAACCAGCCCCAGCTCTGCCTTTAGAGGCCCCACGGACCTTATCTGCTGCCTCAGCCGTTCATCTGAGATTCGGACACAATGGCCACATCCCCAAGGCTGGTATTGGAGGCACATGTCCCAAGGAGAATCCCAGAATTTCTAGATTACAAGGTCCCTTGGCAATCCACTGGTCTAACAGTGTTCTAACTTGTTTGTTTTTGCTACAGAACTCTTTACTCAAATAGAGCTTTCCACGGAAGCCAAAAATACCAAGAGAAACACTTCTCGCTGAGGAGACTGGAGATTCTCCCCACCACCACTATCCTCACTAATTGTGAACCCTCTACAGGCATGTGACCGACCCATTCTACGGAGAAGCATTTATTGAGCACCCACTATGTGCCAAGCATTTGTACTCAAGCCATGTTATCCAATGCAGTAGCCACTGGGCACATGTGGCTACTGAGCCCTTGAAATGTGGCTAGTGCAACTGAGGAACTAAAATTTTAATTTTATTTGATTTTAATTCATTTAAGTTTAAAAACAAGCCGTGTAAAATATTTTTCCCTTTATAGAGTGCCACTTCCTATGAGAGCCCTTACCAGATCCTTTTGGTCAATGTCGGCCCTTCCCTGCCCTGCCCTGCCCTCCGTCTCTGGTGTCATCCTCCCAGCACAGCATCACCCCACACACTGCCCATCAGAGGGACTTTGGGTTGCCAATCTTGCCCACCGGCCTGCAAGGTCTAGAGGGCAGGTCCTCTGTGACGGAACTCTCCCACCACCCACCCCTGCCCTGAGCCCATGCTCACAGGGTTTATAAAACCCAAGTCCAAGTGGAAGATGACTGTAAACCAGAGCTGAGCAAGCAACTCCACCCTGCAGAACCTCAGTCACCTCATCTGAAAAATGGGGATGGGGACCCTCAGCCATCTTCCTCTTGGCCCTCTATTGCCTCTCTTGCTCCATGGCCTTCGCCTCAGGCTGCTGACGGCTCCTGAGGAAAATGGTGCCATGGTCTGCAGCCTCAACGGGCCGGAATCCAGCACACCAGCATTTCCCCTGTGTTTCCCCAGTGGCTGGTTCTTACTTTCTCACCACACTCTTGGCAGCATCCAGCCTGCTGACCATGCCCTTCTGCTTGAAACCCTCCAGGCTCTGCCCAGCCCCAGGCTGCTCCACCTCCAAAGCATCTCTCTGGAGGGGCTGAGGAGCAGCAGGTGGCTGGAGAATGCCAGGGAGCTGAGGCCTCAGGGGCTCTCTCCACTCCTTCCCACCCCACCCCACCGCCTGGCCATACCAGCTCTGTGGCTTTGCCAACATCATGGAACTCCCTGGGGCCTTGGTTTCCTCCCCTATAAAAAGGGGGCGGCAATCTCCGCCTCTTCAACTCCTCCTGAAGCCAATGCAAGGATGCAGGGAGCTATAGAGGGAGGATGGGAAAGGGCAGTAGGGAGCACCACACTGTACTGCTCCCAGGTAGTTTGCTGATGTGAGCAAGGGCACTTCTGCCCACCTCTCTGCCCAGCCATATCCACTCTCAGTGATGCAGGGCGGGGGGCAGGCAGGGGCTCTGCTTGTTGCTTGAGTCTCTCAATCTTCCCAATCCTGTAAGCTTTCAGGACCATCAAATCCAGACCACAGACTGGATCACCTCCCAAGTCTTTCTGGGGATCAGGGCTCAATCATAAATTCCAAAACTGAAAGGATCTCAAAGATCATCCAGTTCTGCATCTGATTCTTGATAGTCTTATACAGCAGCCCAGCAAATGGCCACCTAGGCTCTACTAACATTCCTTTAGTGACAAGGCACTCACTACCTCCTGAGGCAGCCTGCTTTGGCCATAGACCACTCGCATATTTACAAAGTTATTTTTTACTCTGAGCTGAAATCTATTCTGCATCTGCCACACACTGGCCTTTGAGGCCACACAGCAAAGTCTCATTCCTCTTGCCTTCCATGTCAGCCTTCCAAATACTTGAAGGCAACAATCCAGTCCTTCTCATTCTCCTCTTCGTGGTACCAAAACATCCCTAGAGCCTTGAGGTATTCTCCAAATACCTCTCCATCCGGGTTATACCCATCTGGACACATCCCAATTTGTCACTGTCCCCCTTAAAGGTCAATACCACAAATGAGCCACAGCCTTCAGGAAGGATCTGCCCAGCACAGAGCAGTCTAGATGAACAACACTCACATCCTGACCACTCTTACACCTTCTCAAGCGGCTTGAGAGGCTAAACAGTGACCACTGATCAGAGGCCGAAAGCCAACAGAGCACTCAACACACACAGTGACACAGTCCCCCCAGTTCAGGACCTGTGTGTTTGACGGTAAACATCAAAGTCAATGTTTTTCTCTCTTCAAAACTCTCTGCCTGTATCCCTCAACCTCTGAGGGAGCCTCACATACCCGCCCCTCCACATGATCAAACACAGTGGGCCCCAGCTTGGGCACATCTGCTGTGAGTCCAGGTGACAAGGGGAGAAAAGATGACACCATCAACCCCATAAACCAACAGAGATGGTAGGCCCACTGCCTCCTGCAGTACCCAGTACAGCAATCCTGAGTTAAAGACTTCCCACATCTGCTCCGAGTGTTGGGGGGTGAGGGGGCAGAGAGGTGAGGCAGGTTCCAGAAGCCGTGACTCATCCCCCATGTACTCCACAGCTCCAAACATAGGCCACGGGCCCAGCTCCTGCATGGCCTGGAGCCCACACACCACAGGCCAATCCACCGCTGGGCCGACTCAATTTTCTCGTTACAGATCTTAAGTACTTAGGCATGTGCTCGTGAGAATATACATCCTTTACAGGGAGCCGAGAAAGGGAATTGTGCTGAGGAACATAATAATTGAATCAAGATTTCTGTCACCCTGCTCTCAGCCCCTAGACTACAGCCCGTTTCTTTTTTTGTTGTTGTTTTTTTCCTTTCCTGACAAAGGTTTTACAGACTCCCAGGGGTCATTTCTCCTCTCAAACCCATTAATGTCAGCCCACTGGCAGCCTATCAGGGAAAGGAGACCCAGGTTAAGGTGGGCCCATGTCCGGGACAGAGGCGGCCAGCTCCCGAGGCCCGGGTGGCACACCAAGGGTTGAGAAAAACAAACAGGGAAGATTGTCATCTATTTAATCCCCGGGAAGCCCCCTGCATTCCTTCCTTCCAGGCCCAAGGACAGAGATGAGATTATTCACTTCCTCAACGCCCCCGCCATCACCGCACTGAAGGCCTTCTGAAAGAGGCGTGCTCAGACCCTCCGAGAGCCCACCCGCTGACCCTGCCACCTCATGTGTGCCCCTCTCACTTTGCCCAGGCCCTCCCTCTCCCCTAGGCCTCCCCCCAAAAGGGGACACTGCTGCTGTGCTCATACCCTCCACACCCCACCCTCTGGGCATCACATCTGCAAATGCAAGGGCTTCTTAGAGGCCGCAAAGCATAGGCCCCAAGGACTCTGCCAGGCCCGGATTTCCCACCAAAGGGGTGAAGATGGGAGGAGGCCAGCGAGAAGTCCAGTCCCAGCCGGGGCCCTCTTCCTCTCCCGGAGGGCTCAGCCCCTTCCCCGTGGCCAGGACGTGACTGGGCTGGGCCAGACGCCTCCAGCGCTCTGCAGGTAAGGGGTGCTCGGAGGGCGTCTGTGCTTCCGCCCCTGACTGAAGGCCTGGAAACATATCCCACAGATCCGACCAGGCCCAGCCCCGACGGGCAGCGCCGGCGTCTCCTACCTTCGTCTCTCTTGCGCTTGTTGGTGTCGGCGCTGGGGGACGTGATGCCCAGGATGCCGCTGATAGAGTAGGAGGAGCCGGCTGAGTCCGTGCTCACCGAGGACACCTGCGTCACGGAGCCGGTGGACACTGCGCAGAGGGAGAAGGAGGTCAGGGCCCGGCGCGAGGCTGGGGGGCGGTGCCGGAGAGGAGGGAGGTCGGCCCCCGCCTTCGGGCCAATACAAAGGCACGCCCCCTACAGGGGGCTGGTGCGACTGAGAGAGAGCGAGGCAGGGCAGGTGTGTGCTGAGGACACTCGCCACAGGGCAGCGGCCAAACCTGGGCGATGAGAGTAGCCGCGAAGAGAACTGACACTATAGAAGGGAACACGGGCACCAGTTCAAACCCCAGCCTGTCCAAGGATGCAGGAAGCAGGGGGATGGAGCAGAGAAACGGGGGAGCTGGGGCCTACCACCAGCCAGTGCTAGAAACGACCTACTCATTAGGCAGGCTCACTCCCTACTTACAAATCCACCCATCCACGCAGACATAAATATCTGCACACTCATACACAGAGCCAGCAAAGCACCAAATGCAGACTATCTGTCTTTTTATAGCTCCACGCTGTCTTTTCTCCTTCCACTTTACCTGGATTTTAATATTTTATATTAATTATATAATATTAATATACTATATGTTATATATATTGATTTATAATAATGATAATTTTTTCTGAGAACTTACTCTGTGCCAGGCATTCAGGCATCATCTCATTTAATTCTGAGAACAAACTTATAAGCTAGGTCACTGGAAAGGTAAGGGAACCAAGGCTCAGAGAAGGTAAGTCACTTGCCCAAGGTCACACAGCTAATAAGAGGCAGAGTGGTGACTGGAACCCAAGAACTAAAGTCAACCCCTATAGTAATCTGCTCCTCACTAATGAATAATGAAAAACAATAATATGCTTCACGTTCATAAAGTGCTTTTCATTTGATGCCTGCAATAACCAAGAGTGCTATTATTCATCCGCATTCATCAGGTGAGGAAACTGAGCCTCCACACAGCAAAATGATTGGCTCAAAGTCATCTAGCTAACAAGCCATAGCACCAGGGCTCAGCCTTGGTTCTACTGACTTAAAGTCTAGATTTCTTCTGCCCAGAAATGTGGGTTGGTGACTTATTGTGACTGAGACCAGGTATCTAAGTTCCTAAAAATAAGAATGGGGGAGGGGAGGTTTGTGCAAGTTTCACATTAACTCCTGGCTCCAGAATCCAAGGGGGAGACCTGTCGGTCATCAGGGTCCTCTCAAGCTGTGCAGCTGAATTTCCATTTCTGGGCTGTGGGAATTCTTTCTTGGTTCATTAAAACCTACAGACCAATCTCAGACACATTTCCTTCGGCTATAACTAGCTGGAGGCGGGTGGAGCCGCTTTTGACTCTAAAGTATAGGAAATTACTAGAAATGGTGGTGATTGGTTGAGAAGCTGTTTGTTGCTTTCCTTGGAGCACATCCAGCTCTTGCTCCTACAGACCTAAAGGGAGCAGTGCCTTTCTTCTCATATTTGAGTTTGATTTTAGATCTTCCTTAGGAGACACAGAAGTAGAAATCGTTAACTTCTCTTTTCCTTCACCAGAAGAAGCTCCTCAAAATAGATTTATGCAAATCTCACAACCTTTTCTGTGTTAAGGTGCAAAGAACAGAGGAAGAAAGAACCTCACCAGTCATTCGGTACTTTAAACAACCACCACATATGACCAAGGCTCACCACGTTGCTGACAGAGCCGATGGCATGTGTTTCAACATTTTGTAATCACACTCGGCTCAAAAGACTCAGGTTCCAATTCTGGCTCCGCCACTTACTGGCCATGTGACCTTGGGCTAGTTATTTCATCTCTCTAAAGCTTCCATTTCCTTACTCCTCAGTAAGTTAATAAATTATAAGGGGCTGTACACAAATAAGATATGGATTTTATACAAATTTCTGAGATAAGGCATTCTGCTGACTGTCAAGTGTAATTATTCCCCTTACCCAATTGAAAGAATATTATCAGTTACCCTAAGTTTGATATTCCTTGCCATGTGACCTGAAATAAAGTTGCAAATGAAATCCCAGCCACAAACACTTCCCCAGAAAGCTCTCCTTAACCCTGTTCACTCCAGCTCAACAAAGATGATCTTTCCCTCCCTTCTGCTCCCACAGCACCCTGTACTTTCTTCTTGAGCCTGATCTCAGTGTTTTGCAGACTTCTCCTTGTTATTTTCCTCCATTAGACCGAGAAGCCCTTGAGAAGGGGGATTTTGTCCTACCTTCCTTATAACGTTAAGTCTCCACCACCACGGGCTGCATAGCTGGGGCTTAGCAAACGCTTTTTGGATGGATTACTAAATGAAGAATTATTTTATGGAAGGGAAGAATTCTGTCTTACCTTTATTCAAAGAAGCAACCATGAAGAATCAGAGACCTCAGAGAGCACTGGGTTTGTGCCCCTTGCTCCACAAATGGGGAAACTGAGGCTCACAGAGGTGAAGGGGCTTAACACAGTTCACTGGTTGACTTAATGACAAAGCTGGAACTATAAGCCAGGCCTCTGCCTGTCCCCCATCACCACGGGGAGTTCAAGTTTTCAGTCAAAGAAGGAGCAACAAAGGGTACACAATCTTTGTGTAATTAAGGTGTGATTAGGTGGAAATTGACAGGGCCTGTGGCAGCCAGAACCATCAGAGGCTTTGCTGAATGGTGACCCACTTTCTTATAGCAGAATGAGCTTTCCCCCAACTAACCAGAGGTGTTTCCTTTATCCAAAGTGGAGAAATCATACACCTTGTGTAGACACACGTCACTTTCATCTCACGATCTTTGCAGGGAGGGGAAGGCAAGGGAAACTTCTGAACTCCTGGGTAGTAGGAAATATGACTCTTCTCCTTACGAGTCATGGTCACTCTCAGACTTCACCCATGAGTGTCAGAAACCCCACTGGCAGCCCTTGACAGTTCACGGAGCACATGAGATCGAAACAAGAGAGAGAGAGAAAGAAAGTTTGGGAAGTTTTGCCACATCTTCACTCAAGACTGCAAGTGCACAAAGAATTGTAGAAGGGCTGGTTGATAGAAGAAAAAAACACATTCAAAACTACTTACTGACTAATGATGCAGAAAATGTTATGAATAAGTATCCCTTTCTTGATTTATTACTTTAATTATCTGACATTCTATAGACCCCCATTAGTGGATTTTTTTTTTTTTTGGCTTAGATTTCAATTTTCTGTCTCATGGTGAAAGCTATTTATCATAATAATCAGTAAAATTCAAAACCTTTTAGCAGTATTTATAAAATTCATTTACCAGGTTCAGCCCTTGGAGAATGACAAAGAAGGCGCATTAGTACGTGTGCCGAAGTGTTTTATGCAGAATTATCTGTCCATAAGAATGATTAAAAGTTCTTTAGAGTATTTGGAGCCCATTAGATTTTAAAATTTTTTTAAAAAGTTCTTCTTACCTATGCTGTGACTGGAAGCTGGGACCGGCTGGTTGGGTGGCTGCTGTACTTTTGTCCGGATGATCCTGTGAACAGTTGGGCAAAAAAATAAATGGCTATTTACCGTCATGGAGGAGAAGAAATCTCAACTAGCGATGCCAGAAACCCATATCCAGCTGGGTCATGGGCCAAGCTGGGGCAGAAGTGGGGGCAGATTTTGAACCCAGGTCCCGAGTTGGGGGTTTGGAAGAATTATAGATTAGTTCCAACTCAGCCCCTACCTCCCTGGGTGTCTTTGGGTAACTTGCACCCCTCTCTGGGCCTCAAGTGCCTCTTCTGTAGGAAGAGATTGATGCGTTAATATTACAAAGAGGCATCCCATTCTTGGAGCAGCTTCAGCTCCATAAGGAACTCACTGAGTGAGTTAGAAAGTTCCATCCCTTTTGTGGACCTCAACCTCCCATCTGTGGAATGAAGGCACTGAACCAGGTGACCTCCCTGTCCCCTGGCAGCTCTCACACTCTGGTTCCTCTGCCTTAGAGAGCCACAGGAAAAATAACATCCCTGCCCATCAGAAATTATCAAGGGGGTAGGGGGAGGGATGTGAATATTGCTACAAAACTAGAAAGGGTTAAAGTGCTGCCAGGAGAGGCCTGGCTTGGCTTTGCTAAGAGGAAGCCTGAATTATACAAAACAGTGGAAGGCTCTACGGGGCTGGGACCCAGGGCTGTCCTGGACTGTCTTTCCAGAGACCTTGCTTCAGTTCTAATATGAACTGGATTGTGACCCTGGGCAAGTCCATTCCATTGACGGCCTTGGTACAATGAGGGAGTTGGAACAGACCAATCTTTGCTTACTTTAAGTAATTGAATCCTTTTTGGGAAAAAAAAAAAAATTCTTATGGAAAAGTCCAGTATATAAAAAGGATAATAGCAGCAGTGCCTTCCCTTTGCTACCTGGCAGCTCTGATGTCCTTCTGCAGAAACTTGGGCTCTGAGAAGCTTAGTTTGTAACTTTCCAGCTGGGACAACATGTGAGGCCTCCATGAGACCTCAAGCCCGATGCATTGTACAGCAGCTGACCAGGGCCAGACCAAAAGTCCCTTTTGGGCCTGCAAGAAAGTTCCTTCCCTGGCACTTGGGAGAAAGATAGGTGGTAATAAAATGTGCAACTTCTTTGTAAAAAGTTCTATTCCAGTCTCCAACTATGACCTTCTCTGGACACGCAGGCCCAGCGGCCATGGCTCACAGGCCCAGCCGCTCCATGGCATGTGGGATCTTCCTGGAACCGGGCACAAACCCGTGTCCCCTGCATCGGCAGGCAGACTCTAAACCACTGCACCATCAGGGAAGCCCCAACTATGACCTTTTAAAATAACATTTATTAGAGTTTTTCCTAATTATGAAAGTACTTTGTGCTCATTGTAGACTATTTGGACAACAGGTATAAAGAAGACATCTAAAACCATATTTTGGTATATTTCCTTTATGCTAGCATTCCTGTGCATATTTGGAAATATCCATTTCTTCTAAACAAAATCAGGATTAAACCATGTATACAGTTTTATGTCCTGCTCTTTTCACTCAGCATTATATAAGAAGCTTTTTCACATTTCAGACCATTCTTTCTGGAAGCTCTTTTCAAGCTGCACTGGTCTCCAGCTTGTGCACGGGGAAAGGGAGAACAGAAGTGTCTCCTGAACTTCTTTGGGCCGGGGCCCCTGACCTCTGTGATCTCACAGCTCAGTGCTGGGCACTGAGGGTGCTCAGTATCCTCAGCTGATAGCCTGGAATGGATGTTTCTGTTCACACCACAGCCTAGCCACAGGCCCTCTGGAGCCATGGCCACTTGAGCTCAGCATAGGGCCTTTTGCCATTTTCTGATGAGTCAGCATATGTGCTGCCTCAAATATACTGAGCATTTGTTTGTTTTCTCCAATATTCAAATAATTTATTTTGACTAAGAAAACATGGAGCGTATTAACAAAGACCTGGGATTGAGGCAGTCTTTTTGACTACCTGGAATTAAGCTAGCATCTGACTTAATTTTGGATTTTTGTGTGGGGCACCTTCTCTGTATACATGTATGTGTGTCTACAGAGATATAGCTAGATGTGTGAATATATGGATATGCCAGATTTAAATATAGTTTATCTATATTATGGTTTATGTGTATACAAACATATAGTATAATATTAATAGATTTAACTATTTCCTGTTGAAGTCCTGTATAAAGTCCTAACTTTTCAAAGCATTGTCTTGCCATTAACATTCTACTTAAGCAAAGAAAATTATGTTTTCCTTACTTTTCTTTAAAAATATTTATAAATCATTGGTAAAACATTATCAATTTTTGTAAATCATTGACAGGCAGCTGCAGCGGCGTGAACAGGCTCCGGATCCGGACTTCTAGCGTTTGAATCCCAGTTTTGCAATTTGCCAGCTGTATAATGTTGGGTGAATTACTTACCCCTCTGTACCTCAATTTCTTCATCTGCAAAATGAAGCTAAGAATCATTCCTGCCTCATAGGGTTATTACAAGGATTAAATTAATTAAGTACATAGAACAGTGGCTGCTGCATAGTAAATTCTCGATAAATGTTAGCTGTTGTTATTTTCACTGTTATCTTCATAAAGATTAATGACCAGCCTCAACCTTTAAAGGTTCATATTTTCCACAAATGCCTTAAAAACACATGGGATCCCCCTGAGAGCTGGGGAGGGGTAGGTAGCCATCCCTATACCCTATTTTAAGGCTGTAGTGGGGCTTTCCTTTATATGGAAGACTTGAATCTTAGGGAACCCTCCAAACCCATCCCCAGAGATAGAAATTTTGCCCATCTGCTTGTAGCAGCTGCCAAGAAAAGAACAAAGAGCATCATTTTCCATTGAGAAGAAATGGGAGTGGGAAGAACAAGACTATAATTGAATCATAACAATTCTAAAAAAATTAAAAATTAAAAAATTAACATCAGGACTCATCACAATAAGAGCCATGCTCTGGACCAGTTCTAAACCAGAGACATTTAGAGCTAATTGACAGTCAGCGCTAAGAGGTGCAACCTTTACTTTGCTGAGCATTAGCATGACCTTGGATGCCATATGATCATCCTAGATGGTCCAATGGAGAAGGAAGCTCAGCAATCAAAGAATTCCTATAAATGAGGAAACTAAAGCCCAGAGTGCTCAAATGACCTGCCCAAGGTCCAACAGCAAGTCAGCTCCCATGCCCGAGCACTTTTCTTTGAGCCACATTCAAAGGAAGCAGTCCCTCTGCTAAATACTGCCTGTACGAGGCATAAAGCCTATTTGGATTCAAAATCCATCTAGAGTCCGAAGATTCAAAGTCCAAGGAACTTTAGACATTACAGGCATTTGTAAGGATCCCTTTACAACATCACCCCTGCTGCTTTGAAAGGCTAGGTCTTCTCACCCGCACCCCAGCCACCACCTCCCCTACACCACATACAAAATTCCACTGAAAGAGAAAATCGTGGGGCCTTAGAAAAAGAAATGGGGCTATAAGACTGAAAGAAATACCCACATCTACCTCACTGACCAAACTGCCATCTTGCAGTAAGAATCCTGGGCCATCAGCTGTGTTAAGAATCCAGAAACCAAGAGACCAACTAGGCCAAGCTGGGAGAGAATCCACAGGTGACACTCACACCTGCGGCTGATGTGGAGAAGAAAGAGGGAAGGGATGAACGATCCCAGAAGGCTTGTTGCCCAAGTCAGGATGAAGAGCAGGGTTTACAAATGGTCATCCCCAGGCCACATCCATCCCTGGACAAGTTTTGTTTGGCTTGCACAGTATATTTATTTTCATTTGAATTAGTTGCCAGTATTGGTAAGTTGGTAGCGTTTACATAAATACGTGGATTTCTAGCTTCTCTTGAAAAATTGGAACACCCAGAATACTGGCCCCGCATCCTCACAGGACAACTACTGGTTGGTACTAAATAGAGCTGCCACTCTAAGCTGGGAATGTTACTCAGCCCCTGGTTTAAAGCCTCGGGACTGGAACAGACGACGAAGGAAGACTCCGTTCCACCCGGCGTTGGGGTCAGCTCTAAGACAGTCACCTCCAACTGTCTCAGGCTGGATTCCAAGAACCTTCATGCAGGTTGTGCAACACCCCAGCATGTATTTGTCCTTAAGAAGCCACATAAACATGATGCTTTGTGTCCCGGGGAATCTCCCACAAGCCTAGCAGAACTGGTTCAGTGTTGCTTCACTCCATGTCAGTCATGGTTTCCCAGGCAGGATCCCCAGAAGGCAGCAGGAAGGCACACACTTCTGGGGGGGAAAGTGGAGACGGCTCTGTGGCCACCAGAGTAGCTACAGATCCAGACACCCTTCCCTCCCTAGATGTCTGAAGTATTGGAATAGTGAGACGTTGCCTCTGGGGAAGCAGGGGCTGGGAGAGGGAGCTATGGACCCTCTTACACAACATTTGCAAGACAGTCATTTAGAAGCTGCATCTGTTTTAATGCAGTGGGATCTTTATATGGAAAATAAAACTGTGCGCTGGGATGGCTCAGGCTTTGTGGGTGCGGGGTTGGGGGGAGGATGCAGCAACTCAAGACTGTTCCGCACTTAGTTTATTTGCATTGCGCAGTCTGTTGCTAAAGACACCAAAGAGCTCTCACTGAAGAATGTGGTGAGGAACCAGAGAGCGCTCCCGGGAGGAGCCCCAGAGAGGAGCACAGGAAAGGGCTATAGATCACAGAGGAAGCCTGCAGACAGGCAGCAAAACATACAGGCTGTGAGGCTCAGGAATGGAATGGGAATGCAGTAGGGATGGCTGTTTGCCCTTCCTGGTCTCTCTCCTCACAGATCTTCAGTTCTGTCCTGCCAGAGTCCTACTGGAGAGTGGTGGAAAGAAACATCCCCTCTCTTACCATCAGGGAACCTGGGCTCTACTCCCACCTCTAGCTCAAAATCATTGTTCCTGTGCACTCCCCATCTGGGCCTTAGTTTCTCTACCTGTCACAGGAGAGAGTTAAGCTTTGAGGGCTGTAGGAGACCACAGATGTGGCAGCACCTTAGAGGTACAGCCGGTGGAGCCACCGGGCCACCATTATGGACTGGGACACCCAGGAGACCCCTGAGGCTAGCCATGGCCCCAGCAACTAGCAGTCTGACCCTCCACACAGCACGGCTCTGGGCACAAAGCATCAGTTGAGCCATGATTTCCCTGGACACTCTTTCAAGTACC